ACGCCCGTTGGGGACGGGCATCACAGGAGGTGGAAGCTGGGTCCTGCCGCCTGCCTTTTTCCCTATTCTGCAGCGGGGCTTCGACTCCAAGCCGCACGCTGCCGTCCTGCTCGCCCTCTGGCCAGTAACGCTGCGCGGAGGGCCCGGGCGCGCCGAGCGGAGCCGCCTTCCTGCGGGAGCCTTGCCCCGCTGCAGAGAAGAGTTTTCTTTCCAGCTCTCAACTCTGGAACCTGCGTCTATTATGTGTTTCATACATGGTGGCTGATAACTTCCCGAGCGGTCCTGTAGGGTGTCTGAGTGGTGCACGTGCACCGCGGCACACTGTTGTCCTTGTTCCCTTTTTGTGAACAGGGAAATACTGTAGTGAACCACACGCAGAAGATTAATCCTCTTCTGTGGTAATATTTGCATGCGTATGAAATGGAAACCGGCTGTCAGGCTCTAATGACTCAAAAGAGCAAAGACTTCCGATCCAGACTGCGCGCGCCCCTCGCGGGCTGCAGTTCATCCTCTCCACTGCCCTTGTGTTGCAGCTCCTACGCGGAGCTCAAACTGCTGTGAGAAACAGTCAGGGCCAAAAGTGCCTCTTGCAGAGTTGGTTCAGGCTGCGCGTGTTTGTTGTGTGATAACGTGCGCTTGTGCAGTTGTATCTGGGTATTGTCCTTATGTGATGCAGGCTGCTTCCCCATTTTATTTTATGGGGAGAGCTGTAAATATTCTATGGGACTACACATCAAGAGTAGTGAAGGCCTGCTGGATGACTGCACTATCTGCTTCCATAATAACTCCAAAATAGCATGAAGAAGCGTTATTTTCCATAGTGGGTAATTTCTGTGACCCATCTGTTAGAGAAGTGCTAGCTTTAAAGCTAGCTAAGCAGTGGGGTCCTTGGCTGCTTATCAGCCATGGCATTAGAGACAGTGGACTCTCAGAGTTTTGGTGGAGTGTCTTGAGAGAATTAAGCTGAGGCTAGCAAAATGTGCACTTTATCTTAAGCTATCAAGTGTCTTCAAGGTTTGTACAACAGGGGCTACACAGATTTCAAACTTGTCAAGAGTCCTGTTTTGTTAATGGGAAAACTGATCTTATTAAACATCAGGGGAGAAGGATTCCTTAATGTTGGAGCCTTTAAGTGACTTGCTGATTTGGAACTGTTAGCTGGGTTTTTCCTTCATCCTGGTTCAACGGATAGAACCACAATGTGTTTATTAAACCCAAAGAATAAACAGTTAAAGTAACCCAGGAGTGAGTAACTCTTTACTAATTCTGTAGTGAACCACTGGATCTCAGATTAGTCTCATGCCTGTGCCTTACTATTGCCCAAAGAAAGGAAAAGTAGTTAGTATACAAAGGGTTGAATTTCTAAACTGTTGCAATATAATGCAACTCTTGCATGTGAGGCAATGAGTGTCCTAATGCTCTTGATATGTGAGGCTGATTACAGAGGGATTGCTGCTCTAAGCGTGGTGACTAAATGAAATGGTTATGACATTGTTTTAACTCTCCCCCCTCCTCCAGGCTATCTTGAGATTCAGGATCTTCAAAATGGCATTAGCGGCAATTGATCCACAGCAGGTACGTCTCAGTGAAGTCCAGTAGTTCTCCTATGTGTGTGTAGATATATAATATATCTATCTCTCTATATATTTTTTTCTTGTGTGTCTTTAAACAGAACGTTGTCTCAAGGGTTGCCAACCTTCCCTTGGTGAGCTCCACCTATGACATGGTGTCCTCTGCTTACATCGCCACGAAGGACAACCATCCTTATTTGAAGTCTGTGTGTGAGATGGCGGAGAAGGGAGTGAAGACAATTACTTCGGTGGCCATGACGGGTGCTCTGCCTATCATCCAGAAGCTGGAGCCGCAGAGTAAGGCAGCTGGGCAGCTTTTGATGCAACACGGTTCTTTATATACTTGGGAGCGCTTGTGATGTTTTAGTTCAGTAGAGGCATGCTGGTCTGCAGTGCTGAGTCCGACAGCTTGTTAACTTGTTTGTTCAGTAACTGATTAGATGGGTATGATTAAAACAAAAGCAGTCTAGAGACAAAGCAGATTGCAGACTAAACTTAAGACTAAACTGACAGGCTCTTCTCGATTTACCAGATAGCTTGGTTATGTCACCTCTTACTCAACACCTACCTTACCTTTCACCAAGTTTCAGTGCTAGTTTGTGCTTGTGCTGAAACCTGTCAGCAGTGTTGCAAGGATGTTCTGAGTAAGAAGCCTATTTTCACCACATGGCAGAAGGCCAGATACTTTGACTTGTTCTGAAGGTTGTTTGAAAGGTATCTGAAAGGGCTTTCTCAGCTTCCAAGTGCTTGATTATGGCTCTGGCCTTGTTATAAGCTTATGCAACCTCAAACCTCGCTTAAAAATGGAGGAAACTGCCTTAATCATTTTACAGCACAAGCTCTCTGTTTCCATAGGAATTATCTACCCCTCCTTTGCGCCAAGGTGAGTCTCAGATCAAAACCCAATCACACTTTTTATTTTTCTCCTTTTCTAGTTGTAGTTGCCAACAACTATGCATGTATGGGTCTAGACAAAATTGAAGAGAGGCTGCCTATACTGAATCAACCCAGTGACAAGGTAATACCTCTGTAATATGCATATGAAGGTAGAAGTACTGGACACTTCTTTGTTATCACTAAAATTAGTGATTTTAGAGGTGGGTGAGTGAGAAATAAGAATTAATCAAGAATGAGGCACAGCAGAGAAACAGCGAGGGTATTTCTGTCAGCAGTGTGTGGTATGTGGTGTGTGTGGTATTTTTTATTTATTTATTTTTTTGCAAGTTCATTAAGCCTCAGTTTCTTAGTAGATTTCCATTTACTGTGTCCATAGCTGCTGTTTACTGGTACTCATCTTTTAAGATTTGGGTCCGTTCACTTTTTTTCTGCTCAGTGTGAAGCAAACAGTGTGCTAACTACATTCACTAAAAAGTTTTGATCTGCAGGCTGCATGATAATCATATCGTATTTTGCTCTGTCTTCAGCACAGACCTCTCCTAAATAACTGACTTAAAACAAGTTTATGCTAAATTTTGTACCCAAGTTATGTACTTCACAACAAATATGGAAGTGAATCAACTTTTTTTCTTTCTTTGTTTCTATTTTCTGTGGCAGGGTGTTGCCAATGCCAAGGATGTAGTTGTTGGAGCCCGGGAAGCTGTAACAACCACTGTGACTGGTGCCAAGGAAACTGTTACCCACAAAATCACTGGAGTTGTGGGCAAGACTAAAGAAGCAGTACAAGATAGTGTTGAAATGACTAAGTCAGTTGTCAATGGCAGCATTAACACTGTCCTGGGGAGTCGTGTGGTGCAAATGGTTAGCAGTAGAGTGGATAGTGCGCTCACTAAATCGGAGACCTTCGTAGACCAGTATCTCCCACTTACAGAACAGGAGATAGGTAAGACAGATTCACAGCTTGATCTTGCTGGAATGCTTCTGCTGGAGAGAAGCAGACAATCATGATTTAGTTGGCCTTCATGGGGAGGGTCAAATTCTGCCTTGCTGTTTGCAATAGCATCTTGTTGGGATGGAAGCGGAATGGAAATAGTACAGAGTTCAGCATGGACTTGGTCTACCCAGTGCTGAAGTCCAGCATTCAGTCATTATTAAGCAACTGAAGTTGTTTCATACTTCCATCTTTTTTCATTCTGATCTGTATTTTTCTTCTTTCCACACATCTAGAGCAAGAAGCTGCAAAAGTTGAAGGATTTGAAGTTGGAGTTCAAAAGCCAAGTTACTATATTAGACTAGGATCCCTGTCTTCAAAGGTCCGTGCACGTGCCTACCAACAAGCCTTAAACAAAGTTAGAGATGCTAAGCAAAAAAGCCAGGAGGCAATCTCTCAGCTCAACCACACTGTTAATCTGGTAAGTTTAAGCTATTATTTGGGATATAAAAAGCAGATGTTGGCATAGTTTTGCTGAGTGGTTTTACTGGCTAAGTGCCATGAGAGATGGTGTGCTCAGATCAAGGGCAATATTTCTAAGTATAAATCACATGCCATTCAAAGCTTTTTCACTGCCTTTCTGGGAAGTTACTCAGTTGGACTGAGCCGTAAACTAACTAGCAATTTTTAATTTTTAAGCACTTCTAGAATTAATTTTGATAAATAATACCAATGGGCTTCATTCAGTGAAGAAATTTCCTTTCATTTTAGGAACACTTCAGTGCTTTCTGTTAATGTAGTATTATTTACGTTCTTGCTTTGGTTCTTGCTGTGGGATATCTCTTAGCACTCCTGCATTCTTTGGTAGTCTGATCTTAGCAATGTGTCTTGGTGTACTGGGGAGAAACTGTACATAAAGGCCTGACCCTTCAATGTCTTCAATTCCTTGTGCAGGAGGCTGGTGGCAAAGGGGTGAAAACAAACTTGAATAAGGTGATTGAGGCAGAAGATAGACCGGATGATGTCTTAAAACTGCTTCTAGTTTTCATTTTTCTTTGAAAAGCAGGAATAGATTCTTATAGTCCCCAAAGCCTTTTGTCTTAAACTTTGGGTATTTTGGAAAAAGTTTACAAGGCCAAGTAGGGCACCTTAATAGAACTGTTTGCGCTTTTTCCTTCACTTCTCCTTTGGCTGTATTTCAGATCGAATATGCCAGAAAGAACATGAATAGTGCCAATCAGAAACTTCTTGATGCTCAGGAAAAACTGTATCAATCCTGGGTAGAATGGAAGAAAAATACAGGCCAAAATGATGGTGATGAATCGCATAGCGCTGAGGTAAATAGATATGCAATATATTCCTGGTGTGTATGTATATTTGAATTGCATATTGCCAGAGTAACTACTGAAAATTTACTGTACCAAAGATTCACAGCATCTTTACAGCGTAGTGTATTCCATGCACAAATGTGGCTTTAATGGTAAAGCTTAGGGCAGCTGCCAGTGATAACTATGAAATGTAGAAGATGCTCAAGTTCCTAAGTGCTGCAAGCAGTCTGAGGTCCATTCTCCTTTCACGAGAAGCCTCGTTCTGTTTCTCCTGTGAGCGTGTTGGGATACTCATATCTAGATCAGCTAGGATTCACTCATTTGAGATTGCTGGAAATACCAGTTTGTTGCATAAAGCAGTCTGAGGCACAGACTTGCTGTTATGTATATAGCTTGAAACAATGAGTCTTTGACTAGAATAAACTTGCCTGCTGTGGCTTCTCATCCAGAGTTGAAATGAGAGCCTGCTTAGCTGCGGAGAAGCTTTGGGTGTTTCTGCTCCACAAAGTACTTGAACACTGCGGAAATATCAAGTACTTTCAAGTTCTGTCTCTGACTCTTAAGACTTGAGGCTTGTTTTACTATCTGCTATGGGTTTATCTTCCCTTCATCACTTTTCTTCACTCTTTAGTACATCTTTACCATAAAGCTACAAGAGTGATGTCAAGATTCTGACATGCTGTTATGCTTTGTTTCCAGCACATTGAGTCGAGAACTCTAGCTATCGCACGAAGCCTCACTCAGCAGCTGCAGACCACGTGCCTCACGCTGGTCTCAAGCATACAGGGGCTTCCCCAGAATGTGCAGGACCAGGTTTACAGTGTTGGGTCAATGGCAGGTGATGTCTACCAGAGCTTTCGGTCAGCATCTTCCTTCCAGGAACTGTCAGACAGCTTCCTTACCACTAGCAAAGGACAACTGAAGAAAATGAAGGAGTCTCTGGATGATGTGATGGATTATCTGGTTAACAACACACCGCTTAACTGGCTGGTAGGTCCCTTTTACCCACAATTGGCTGGTATTCCGCATGCTGAGAGCGAAGGGGAGGAAGATTCCAGCCAGGAAGACAAACAGCTTGAACACAGTACTGAATAAATTGCATAGCATACATGTACTCTGTAGACTGACCAAACAAGTGACTCTAACAACTGTAGCTGTCAAATAACTTCGGAAGAAAATTGATATGTGGGAGTGAGGGAAAATGACAAAAAGGAAGAAAATTTTCCCACAACTGGACTGTATTGTCCAGTCTCATAAAGACTTTCTAAAAAACACTCTTGAAGTGCCTAAGCATTGTCAGTTTACAGTTGTGAAGATGCCTTGTTTGTCCATCAAGTTAAGAAACCTCATTTCATAACATTTCTGTAAATGAAATCAACAATGGCTAAAATCACTTGGTGGCTTGTTTAATCTGAATCAGAATAATGCAAAAGCCTTATGTGCTTTGACATGCATTTAAAAGCTCTCCTGTCTAGCTCAGGACACTTGAATTCCATGCCTGGTGTAGATCAAGCATTTCATTATAATAGTTCTGCCTGTGCAGTTGTCTTGATTGTCTTGCACTACTTTGACTTATGAGAGGAGTTTTGCCAGTGCAGAACTTGAAGCTGAAAGTGGGGTTTCTTGAATGAGTCAGACAGAGTTACTTAAATGCTGTGACATTACTAATATCAACTATATAAACTTTCTATTGTATTACACAGTAACCTGACCAAATCATTATCAAAGTGCACTTTTTAAAAAAAATATGCAGTAAAAAAGATTCATGCTGTTTGTACCAATGTGCCTGCTGTTTTTTGTAGTGATCTTTTGTAATTTTGTATGCTAGCAATAAATGCTTCAGCTGCAAAAGTCTGTCTCTACTGAATGGTGTCTGAAGTGTTAACTTGCTGTTCTGTGACTCCGATGCACTGGATCCAGAAGGCAAGCTTGAAATACAAGTGAAGTAGATGTGTTGAAAATCTACATGTTTGTGTAGATAAAGCAATGCTGCTACACTGCTATCACCGAGTTCCTATCTATCCTTCCCCTCTGTGTCTTAGCTTTACTGCTGCTTTTTGGTGCTTCCTGTTACCTGTTGATGGAGCTTGAGAGTTGATGGATGTTCTAACAGACTTGAGAATACAGATTTTTAAAAAACAACAGCAACAAAAAAGTTCTGCCTTCAGCCTCAGTGTTCTGTGTGGTGTGAGGCTCCTAACTAACTGCTTTGGCTACCTGTTTACAGCCAGCCTGTGGCCCTCAGCTGAACAAACAAGCTTTAGTCTGTTTATCTACCCTCTTTGGGCTTGAGTGTCTAACATACATCAACACTAGACTAAGTGAGAGAAATAGTTCTTTAGTAAGCCCCCTTTAATCTTTCCTGTGGAAGAGATGCAGTTGCTCCTTAACATGCTCTTTGCTCAGAGTTGTCCAGGTAAGTGCTACTGTGAATTGCAAACACTTAGTGGGGCAGTATTAACATCTACCTCAGAGAGGCAGCATAGGAAAAATGGAGTTTGAAACAATGTTTGGTATCTCACGGAGAGGTGGCACATTGCTACATGGAGTGCAACCTCGGCTGTGAATGTGTATCTGTACAAAAGTAAATCATATGTAGCCTAGCCTTATGAGGTGGGAAGGCTGGGCTGTGAAGTCAGGATATAGCTAAGCGTTAGAAAGACATTGGGCTGTTGAGGTTTAAGCATAATATTAAACAAAATCCTGGCAATTAAAGGCTAAAGACGAAGATTTTGGAACTTCTTTTTTTTTTTTTTTTTTTCTTTAATTCTGTTTCTTATCATATACATCTTCTCTTAACAGCCAGTATTTTTTGGAAAAGTGAGATACTGTCCCCAGTTTTAGGGCATGAGTTAGTATTTCTGTAATTCTGTCCTAGAAGTAGCTACCTGGAGATAGACTGTCATTTTTCATCTCTGAAAGAAATAAAACTTGTAGAGGAGTGCAGGAGCAGAATGCAGCTAATGCTGTCAGGAAGTAGCTGGTAGTTCCGTGAAGGGAATTCCTGCCTTTACACATCAATCAAATAATACAGCCAAACTGCTAGCCTAGAAATTAACAACAGCACCCATTTTTAACTTAAAAGTAATTCATATTTTTGTTTTACCTGAAGTTGTGCAACTCCATACTGTCTTTTGTCAGACGGGTGACCTGTCTAGCTTTCCTGTTAGGAAGTAGATGAAGCAGCACTCTAGGAGAAATGTTACTATTCTAATCTTGCAAATTCTTTTCCTCTCAACATGCATTAGTGCTTATGTAGTGTTTGGAGTAAGGCAAATACCAAAAAGTAAACAACCTCTTGCATTCTGCTGTTTACTTCATTGAGAAAGCAAATCAACAGGAAAAATAAGTTTCTGCATTCTAGTGGAATTAGCAGCTGCTTCTTAGAGGAAGACACTTGAATTTTCAGATTTCAGAAGTTTTGAAACCTTAGGGGTTCTTGGATAATATTTTGTCCCGTACTTGCTGCATTTTGTTTGTTTGCTTGTTTTCTCTTGGAAGGAGAAAAGAGCTGAACAACTGCTGAACTGGCTCCTGAAGAAAAAAATAATAGAGTGCATAAGAAGCAAGCAGAAGCTAATTACTTCTGTATGAAACTCTAAAAACTCGCCTTTAAAGCCCAATAGCAAATTAGTACATTCCCGGTTCATAATATTTGCTTAAAATTCCAAAAGGAAATGAGGAAAAATCTTAATTAACAGGACCCAGACTACTCTTCCTGTTGTTTCACCTGATTCTCTATACTTACCTGTTTTAAACTGGTTAGTTACACTACACAGAAACCTCCTGATTCTAGTCTTAAAAATACTTGAAAAAAACAGCTTGGCTTAACAAGAGAGGTAGAGAGAAGCTTGCTGAAGAGCAGGTGGGTCACATGGCTCGAAAATGGTATGAAATGGGTGATGGCCTTTCAGGCAGGGCAGATAAACCTCCTAAGTGAGAAAAGTGTCAAAGGCTGCTACTTGCATAAACACTGGAATGGTACAAGTTAGAAAACTAATGAGAAAATTATCATTGCTAAGATGCTATAGCATTCAAAAATGATTGTTTCTGCTCAAGAGATCACTCAAAATCATTCACAGCACTCAGCCATCCCGTCCTGCTTTCCAGGCTCATTTAGGGTAACATCAATTATTCTATCATTGTTGACAAACTTTTGTTGTAAGCCCACGTACTTAAAATTTTGCAAATAGTTCTACCTAGCATCACACATTCGTACCAGAATAAGCACTGGTGAAATCCAAATTGCATACTAAAATTCTTGCATAAAAACTGATGTATGCATAAAAATTATTAAAAAGAAAAAAGCAAATACATTGTAATAGAACAAAATGAAAATAAATGCAATCTAGGTTAATGACAGAATGTTGTTACAAAGCACTTCTGTCATTTCTCAGTACTTACAGAAGATGGCAAGGCAGTGGTAAGAGGATCTAGCTGCTTCTTATGGAAGACTTAGGGGAAGTCTTCCCTTCCATATGGAAGTCTTAGGGGAAGAAGAGTCATATCTACCCTTATTCTTTATTATGAGAATTGACATACTGCTTTGTTTCATCTTCCCATCAACTATGAAACAAAATTGCGAGTAAACACAAAGGTCATATGGAAGTGAAGGCCCCACAACACCAGGGGCAAAAATACTTCTGCGGCTGTGGACATCTTGCGGTTCTGTAAAGGAGTTCGCTGCATATAGCGGATATGCTGAAGAGACTAAAGAAAGCAGAAGCTTAAACCAGAGAGGCCGATTATCATATACTCAATAGTAACAATAGGGATATGAGTAATAGGAGTACCTTAAGCCTAGGATACAGGGAAAATTATCACTGTACCTGAGTGTGGTCTTGTGCCTAGCTCAGTACAAACACAGAATAAGCATATTACTATAAAGCTATAAGCAGAAAAGTAGAAGACAATTGTTGCTGGTAGAAAGACATATGTTTTCTCATTCCTACTGTCATTTGGCTTTTAGCATGCCAGGATAACTGATCTTCTTGGAACAAGTTAGGCTCTCAGAGTGGACTTGGCATTCTCATACATGTGCCTGGTAAATGACATGTTCTTTAAACTCTTCTGAATCAATTGATACTTCTAAGTCATTGGTGTGCTATATTCACCTAAACTCAAAGGAAATGAGCAATTCACCTTCAGTGCTAGGTATCTGTAACCTGACAGTTGCACCAGTAATCTCTCTCTATTCTTCTCTTTCTGGATATACCAGAGGTTTTCAGAATGCTCTTCATGAAAGTCAGTCATAAGCAATTTTTTTTTTTTTTTCAGTTAGGGCATGGTCTAAAACTTCTCCAGCTTAAGTTGAAAACATGCCTAGATGCCCTTCAGATACAGAGCTTTTATGTGCAAACTCCCATGAACCCACAGCAGTGGTGATATGCTTGTATTTTGCGCCTCACTTACAATATTCCTCACATCATCGATAACAAAGCCAACAATGAATCAAGCTATACACATTTATACTTATTTTTACTTACATATCTATACTTATTTATACTCATTTACATAAAACTATACATATATTTTTTTCACTTGGAGAAAAGTTATGGTTGTACCTAAATTACTTCTGAAAAAAAAAAAAGGATATTAGTAAATTAAGTCCTACTAATGGTACTTAAGGACTGAAATTAAGTCCCTTAAGATAACATTTTTAGAGATGTGTAATATCCATGTATCCACTAATGTCTCTAACAATTCTTGCTTAATAGTATTTAACTGTATAATCTAGTTTATAGTACAGAATAATACTAATCATCCAGTTAGAACAGAAGCCAAAGCAATTTTGCAGTTCCAGGTACTGGTTTCCTCAGGAATAGTTTGACGTGGTAAACTGGCAGCACAATCTATATATTAGGAAATACAGAGCAATCTACATGAACCTCATCTAGGCAGGTTCCTTTGTATAACCCACTGTGTCCATGGAAAAAAATGCAAGACGTTAAAAATATTGTTTCCTAATTTTCCATTCTTTTTCCTAAACATAAAACTAAGTTTGGTAAGTCAGTCGTGTTGTTCCACCTCTACTTTAAAATCCTGTCTCCTCAGCAAGTAATTTACGTCTTGCTTAATGTTTTGTCCATCTTAGCACGTTTAATGTGACCAGCATATTTTAATATGCGTTCAGTAGTTTGGGTCTGATTTCTACACATGCTGAGCACTTTCACCTCCTTTGGTTTCAGTCACAACTACTACCCAAATTTACTTAGTTCAATTTTGGAATTGATTTCCGATTTCCTTCCTATGCAGGTCCCAGATTTCACTATTACAGACTTGTCTTCAGAGTCAGATGATATCCCAGACATTTTGGATTTGGATGAAGATGATCAGCAAGACTTTTCACGCACAAATGGTCCTTTCACTGCAGGGCAAAGAGCTGAATAAAGAAAAGGCATAAAAATGTCTTTTTGATTGAGTGTATTGTCACAACACTTATTTAACTTATGTAAAGATGAATCTTCCTAGCTTTGGGTTTTTGTTTTCCAGGTTGTGTATGTGTTTTTGTTTGTTTTTCTGAATCAGTACTGTTTCACTTAGCATCATCAAAATTCTGATTTTTTTTCCCTCCTAAGGAATGCATGCTAGGTTAACTCAATAGCATGTGTGTCAACATCCTACCCAGGAAGAGAGATATAGCGTAACTGGTATATTCTAATCTTTGCTAATGGTTTGTATTGATAATTGTTCTCCTGGCAGCAGTAGCCGAGAAAACAAGCCAGTGCCCTGCACAAAGGGCTGCCAACAATAAGTTTAATAGTATTTGTTGGCAAAATTTCCCCTCTCAGCCTATCTGTAAAGTGCTTCTGCATCTACCTCTGCTGCTGGAAGGCGTGACTGACTCAGTTCTCTCAGGGGGTTCTTGCTGAATCTCTTGCTAGAGTGCTTTGCACATGCAAGGACTCCACTTCCCTCCAGACGCCTCCCGCGTGCAACAACATTGGCCATCCTGATGCTATGAGTTGTGGCGCCTGAAACTAGAAGAAATGATTTTAAAAGTCTTACAGGAATAAGGAAGACACTGGAAAGAGCGAGGAAAAGGAGAAGGAAGGATGCAAAGAGATGTGGGATAAAAGCACATTCAAATGAAGAGTAACAGATAAGAAAGTGAATTGAAAGCAATCATTGATCTGGTGACAATGAATATCTTTGAATGTATCTGAGTTAAATGCTTGCTAAGCAATGCCGAATCTGCACATGCTTGCACACAGCACAATTTCCGTAGGAGATGGGGATACTTAGGAACTCGACTAGAAGCAAATTGTCTATGTTTCCATGTGCTCGTGCCGAGCTCCGATGTGGCAATCCCGCTGGTGTTGGGCGGGCGGCTGCCGGAGATCTGGGGATGATACATGGTGCTACTTTTGTACACCCGCTGATTCCGTGTAGAAATGATTCTTGGTGAGCTAGAGCTGTCAGGTTGGCACCTCTAATAATAAGTTAATAATCTAATGCTTGATTGTCGTGAAAACTTTAAAAGTCTAGTCACTGAAAATGCCTTGAAATAAAAGTTTATTTAAAAAAATGCTGCTGTGGCTGTCGTTTTTCCCTTGTGGTGCGCGGGGGCGGGGGACTTTTCTCTTTTGTATTAACGTTTGAGATCGGACTGTAAAACTGAGGCTGGAAAAGCCATGTGGGGCGAGAATTACGGCTGAGGCCCCT